ATATCGTCAGCTTGTTCCTATCAGACCCTTTAACTCAGAGTTATGGCCCTTGATTATAGAGCAAATTTTCTTTTCCGGAGTAGTTCTCTGCAACTACTGGCTGGAATTCAACGAAACTTTATGGGAATCATCAATATCAAGAGGAGATGCGCATATTGTCAACTTGTTCCGGTCAGACGCTTTAACTCAGAGTTATAGTCCTTGATTAGTTATGTTGTATGCATATAGTGTAAAAATCGTTTTTGCACTTCTTCTCTGCAACTAATGGCTGGAATTCAACGAAACTTTATGGGAATCATCAATATCAAGAGGAGATGCGCATATCGTCAGCTTGGGTCGATCAGACCCTTTAACTCAGAGTTATAGTCCTTGATTAGTTATGTTGTATGCATATAGAGTAAAAATCGTTTTTGCACTTCTTCTCTGCAACTAATGGCTGGAATTCAACGAAACTTTATGGGAACCTTCAATACCAAGAGGAGATGTGCATATCGTCAGCTTGTTCCGGTCAGACACTTTAACTCAGAGTTATGGCCCTTGATTTGTTATGCAGTATGCAAATGGAGTAAAAATCGTTTCCGCGCTACTTCTGTGCAAATACTGGCTGGAATTCAACGAAACTTTATGGGAACCTTCAAAACCAAGAGGAGATGCGCATGACGTCAGCTTGTTCCGGTCAGACACTTTAACTCAGATTTATGGCCCTTGATTAGTTAATTAGTATGCATACATCTCATTGGCATTTCCAGATATTACTATTTAACACAAAGTTATGGCTCTGTTATTGCCCTGAATATTATCAAGTTAAAAGAATATTACTGTTTATGCCTTGATTAATATATAAATAAAGCTGTTGTGTTAATAAAAACCAGTACTCGGCGGGGGATGTATTAATTCAACGAATTTGCTTGTTAGCTCATTAGAACCGAAGGTTCAGGGTGAGCTATTATTACTATCAAAGTGGGACATTCAGCGTAATGCGTCAAAAATCGTCTTCTTCTCTGAAACTGCTGTGAAGATTTACTTCAAACTTGGTCTGTAGCGCATCCTTGTGACTGTCACACTTAAATTTGCTCATGTCATTTCAATTGGCCCCTTTTAGGTCACCAGAGCTAAAAATAGAAAAATCTTTTAACATCTTCTTCTGAAGCACTAATTGATGGATGATCACCAAACTTTGTCCGTAGCTTTCTTGGTTAGTCTTTTATCAAGTTTGCTCATATTAATTTGATTGGCTCCTTTTAGGATTCTCTAGGGCTGAAAATAGAAAAACCATAAGACATCTTCTTCTACAGACCTAATGGATGGATGAGCACCAAACTTTATTTGTAGCATTCTTTGGTAGTCTTTTAGCAAGTTTGCTCATATTTATTTGGTTGGCCCCTTTTTGGGGCTGCTAAAGCTAAAAATAGAAATACCTTTAAACGTCTTCAGTTCTACAGAACTAATTGATTGATAATCACCAAACTTTGTCAGTAGCATTCTAAGGTAGTCTTTTATCAAGTTTGCCAATATTAATTTGATTGGCCCCTTTTAGGGGTCTCTAGAGCTAAAAATAGAAAAACCTTTAGACATTTCTTCTACAGAACTAATGAATGGATGATCACCAAACTTTGTCTCTAGCATTTTGGGGTAGTCTTTTTTCAAGTTAGCTCATATTAATTTGATTGGCCCCTTTTAGATTTCTCTAGATCTAAAAATAGATAAACCTTTAGACATCTCATTAGACAGAACTAATTGATTGATGATCTGTAGCATTTTGGGAAGTCTTTTATCAAGTTTGCTCATATCTATTTGATTGGCCCCCTTTTAAGGGCTGCTAAAGCTAAAAATAGAAATACATTTAAACATCTTTTACAGATCTAATTGATGGATGATCAGTAAACTTTGTGTATAGCATTCTTTGGTAGTCATTTATCGAGTTTGCTCAGTTTTATTTGATTGGCCCCTTAAAGGGACTACTTGAAATAAAAATAGAAAAAATAGAAAAAAAACTTTGAACAGCATTTCCATTTACTACAGAAGTAATTGATGGATGATCGCCAATCATTGTCTGTAGCATTCTTTGGTAGTCTTTTATCAAGTTTGCTCATATTAATTTGATTGGCCCTTTTAGGGGCTGCTAAACCTTAATTATAGAAATACCTTTAAACGTCTCCTTCTACAGAACTCATTTATAGATGATCACCAACTTTTGTCTGTAGCATTCCAAGGTGGTCTTTTATGAAGTTTGCTCATATTTATGGATTGGCCCCTTTAAGACCCCTAAAGGTAAAAATAGAAAAACCTTTGAACATCATTTCCCACTGAAATAATTGATAGATGATCACCAAACTTTGTATGTAACATTCTTAGGTAGTCTTTTATCAAGTTTGCTCATATTTATTTGATTGGCACCTTTAAGGCGTCGCTAAATCTTACAATTTTACCTTTAAACGTCTCCTTCTACAGAACAAATGGATGGATGATCACGAAATTTTGTTAGTAGCATTCTAATGTAGTCTTTTTTTAAGTTTGCTCATATGAATTTGAATGGCCCCTTTTTAACTAAAACTAGAAAACCTCTGAACATCATCTCCTACTGAAATAATTGATGGATGATCACCAAACTTTGTCTGTAGCATTCTTAGGTAGTCTTTTATCAAGTTTGCTTACATTAATTGATTGGCCACGTTTAAGCTAAAGCTTAAATACCCCAGGTCATCATTTCTTTAATTATTTTTAATGATATTCTATGCTCAAATTTAATATAAAAAATATTGACAAGGCAGTTGTTTCTTGTGAGCGACTCAGGACCATCATGGCCCTCTTTTTTGTTTTTTTTTGTTTGTTTAGCCAAAGAAACATTGAATTGAATATCAGTGTTGCAATAAGTCTTATAGCCAATTTACTACAGTTATAACTGGTGGCACTATATAAAAACGACTTGGTTTATAATCTCACAACCTTCACCTTTCTGACATTCTGAGACCCAAACAAATTCAGCGCCTTTTGTGCTTTGATTTTTCTTCTTTAATCACGTGGAGTGTTAGAAATAATATGTCCATACATCGATTGTCGCTACAGACTAGAATAGCTTGTTCTGTTTACGGTGGTAATAAAGCTTTGTCGAATTTCCGCTCAACAGTTACCATAAGAGCTAGAGATTCTCGTCTGTGGCCGTGTTTGAAACCCCTCTTTTATTTCATGCTTTCCAGAGTTCAATTGTAATATATCAGATGATTATATTCTGATAAACCACAAATGAAATTTATAAAATATAATTTTCACTGTAGCTAGCCGAACTATATTAGAATGCGGATGAAAACAAAATCATAACTAAATGGAATAACATGCAGAAATAAATGCCGTCATGCGTAAATTTTGCTTCTTTAGGAAAAGAAAGTCGATGTTACCATACATCATGTTAAAAATGTAACAAAGTTAGAGAAATTGAACAGAACTGTTTTTCAAAATTGTTGATGTGACGTCATGATGTGATGACGTCAAAAAGGAGAATACGCGACGTTACGCGGCAACTAAAAAATACTTAAAATCACTTAAAAAGCATGAAATAAAAAGAAAATTTATTTGTTTTACATATTAGATTGAAATATATTTCATTCGTGAACACCAGCTATTATATTTTCACTCGTGGCTTAGCCACTCGTGAAAATATTGCATCTGGTGTTCACTCAGTGAATTATATTTCAATCTTACATGCAAAACAAACAAATATCCTCTATATATGCAAGAAAAAAAGTAAAACTTCGAAAGCGATGTATAAAATATGCTCTAACACGAGAGTGTCACGGTAGAAATGCAAGAGTTAATTGCTAGAAAAATCGCATGCCTTGAAACAGTTAATTGCACATACTTGACAAAAAATGTGTTACAGTACAACATACATTCAATCTCTAGTCGATTACTCTTTATCGAGTTCAACATCTGACTTTAACCACTCGGCCACAGACACCCATATGCTTACTTTATAGCTACCAATACACATGAGTGTACTCAATCGCCGCTAATAGATAGACTTAATCATCAAGATTACCAACATTTCCTGACAAAATCAGCCTTATAAGCTAAGCATATGTATTCGTTTGGATGTACATACAATTGAGACGAAACTCGATTTGCATAGTATCCGATCTGAAACTTATCAGTTTAACATTTACCCAGTGGGAAAGTTCCTGTCGGGATTCGAACTCATAGCGGATGTTGGCGCGCCGTAAAAGAAAGCCAAACATTGCCCATTAAGGTCAAATAATTGAAATTTACTTAAAGTATCAAAACAAAAGGACACACACAACAAAACTATTCTGATATGATTTTGACATTAATTGAAATTTTCTTAGATTGGCATAACTTTGTTATTTTCATTCATACTTGGAAAAAAGAACACATGACAAAACCGACATGTTGAATTATTCTGATATGATATTGACTTACCTTTAAGCCAACTTTTTAATTTGCTTAAATTTGCCATAATTTTGTTATTTACAGTTTTATTTACTGACCTTATATGTCCTTGACGGTCAATGACAAATTATTGAAATTAATAGTTTTTGTTTAAGAAAGAAGAAACCCCCGCTAGGCAGAGGTTCTTGTTCTTTTGAAAACTTGATTATGGACCAGCTTGCAAGATGCTAAGATGTTACACAAACAGTGTTGTTATATCCGTTATACAATGTGTGAATGATAAGTAACGGTTCTCCTTTTTGACGGCCACAAAAATGCAAATGTGACAAATAAAGTACCTTTAGAGAAGACAATTTATAGTCCTGGACGCCTTCCGGAGCATCCAATCGTATACATGTATTTACTGCTCATCCTGAATCTTTGATTCCGGTGAGCTTAACACATTACGAAAGGTCTCTGTAGATGAATGAAATCTTGAACATTTTCAATACAGAAGGGAGCGGATAATCTCTTATTGTTCATAGTTGTATTAGAATTTACGGTTAAAAGTGCATTTACAGAACATGCAAAACAGAAAAATATGAAGAAAAAATGTGTAAATTGTTTGATTTTTTTTTATTATTTCATATTATTGACACCTTATTCACTAATAGTTCACAGTCTTGATTTTTTTAAATGTCAGTAACCTTTCTGTTCTTGATGTAGTCAGAAAGTTTTGGAGTGGCCATTACACGTTCTCTATGTGCTTTAAGTTTAGGAAACTTGTCTAGAAGTGTGGGGTGTTGATGTAATGGCGTGTCAAATGCGTTGAGAACAGCAAGATCAGCAAGTGTCAGCTAAAATAGAAAAAGAAGTAATCCACTACATATACACACTGTGAAAATATTTATCAACAGAGATGATTTTTTTCTGTTATAAATAATTTGTGTTGTCTTTATGACAGCTTGAAAAAGGGGTTAAAGAAAGAACGATCTTGGTTGTATACATAAAAAGTGACTATCATGTTTACATAAATTTTGTGAAAGCATCTTTCTCGAGTGATAAAATGACAAATGTTCTAAGACTTCCAAACTTTTCTTACAATTAAGATAATCCGGAGTTATGTACACTGTATATTGTTTGTAACAGTATAGCAAACAAAACGTTTTTATACCCCATCATCAAAATGTGGGGGCTATAATGGATTCGCTTTGTCGCGTCTGTCCGTCCGTCGGTCGGTCGGTCCGTCTGTCTCCATTTTCGTGTCCGCTCTATAAATCCTATACCAATGGAAGGATTTGCTTCAAACTTGGCTCAAATGTTCACCTCAGCAAGGGGATGTGCAGAACCCATTTTGCCCATGTGTCAGCTCAAAGTCAAGGTCACAATTGAAGGTCAAATATCAAACAATCAAAAATAAGACAGTATGTCGTGTCCGCTCTGTAACTCCTACACTTATTGAAAGATTTTCTTCAAACTTGGCTCAAATGTTCACCTGAACAAGGGGATGTGCAGAACCCAAAATGCCCATGTGTCAGCTCAAGGTCAAGGTCACACTTGAAGGTCAAATATCAAACAATGAAATATTAGACAGTATGTCGTGTCCGCTCTGTAACTTCTACACTACTTGAAAGACTTTCTTCAAACTTGGCTCAAATGGTCACCTCAACAAGGTTATGTGCAGAACTCATGTTACCCTTTTACCGGCTTAAGGTCAAGGTCACACTTGAAGGTCAAAAATTAACTTGGAAAATGTTCTAAAATTTTAACATGTATTTGAATACTTCTGAAACTAGAAAAGGTGTTTGCTTGAAACTTAAAATATATATGAAGTGTCACAATTAAGATATGCAGGTCAAGTTTCATAACTCGTATGCCACTTTTTAAGTCTTCAAATTTACATTAATCAAATATTAGACCATATGTCGTGTCCGCTTCATAAATCCTATACTAATGGAAAAAATTTTCTTCAAACTTTACTCAAATGTTCACCTCAACAAGGTTATGTGCAGAATCCATGTTACCTTTGTGCTAGCTAAAGGTCAAGGTCACACTTGAAGGTAAAAAATTGACATGAAATTTTCTTAAATTTTAACATGTACTTGAATATTTCTGAGACTAGCACAGTTGTTTGCTTGAAACTTAAAAGATATATGAGGTGTCACAAATAAGATAAAGGTCAAGTTTCATATCTCTGTATTGCATTTTGGCAAAGTTATGCCCCTTTTTAAGTCTTTAAATTTACATACATTCAATACTAGATATGTTATATCCGCTCTATAAATTTTTTACTAATGAAAGGATTTTCTTCAAACTTTACTCAAATGTTCACCTCAACTGGGCAATGTGCAGAACCCATCTTACCCTTGTGCCAGCTTAAGGTCAAGGCCACACTTGAAGGTCAAAAATTGACTTAGAAAATGTCTAGTACATTGGGAAAATGAAAGATTATCTGTAACTGTTTCGAACATGATTTATACTTTATACCTGTACAATAAGTCTTTTTTTACCAGAGATAATTTCCTTTTATGTATATATATTTGTGCTCTTAACAACCTTTCCAAGTCGTCTTCTGTCAAGGACATTGGTGGGGGTATGAATCGCATTCAGCGATAGTTCTAGTTTCGAGAAGTGCAGTGTTTGAGCAAAATTTCTTAAATTAACCTTTGGCAATCATTTCATCTCGACTTAAGCAATGATTTAAGTTTAAGTATTGACTGAATATCGAACAGTAAATCATACGAATCTGCATTGGTCGCATTGGTAGATTATGATACAACTCTGGAACCAATTAAGTTTAACAGTCAGCTTTAATGCTTGCCCCTTTATTTTTCTTCCGAAAGTATTTATGGAACATTCAATAGAAAAAAGCTGGCATAATTCGCCATTTTCTTGCACGTTACATAAACGCCTCAGTAACAAAACATATTCTCGGCTGAGATATGTAAATAATACGAAATTACGTTTTGTGCATGAATCGATTTTCACTTTAATACTGGACCTTTGTTAGGAATGAACAAAACATAGAAAATGTCCTTACCGAATTTCCGACGAAAAACTTTCCTCCGTTTTGATCTAATGCTTTTTCAAATAATCCACAAAATTTTGGAAATACTACTTCTGCCAAATTCTTCTGAAGTTCTTTCTGCAAAATAAAAGTTAAAAAAGAGATATTCGTTATCGGTAAATTATTATGAGCACAATCAAAATACTTGACTAATGTCATCACTGTAATTTTTTTTTTGATTCGGTAAATTTATTGTCGCATTTCGCTTGCACATATCTGCACTGCCATTTGAAAACTGAGTTATTTTATTCATTGGGAAAATCATAGTTACAGCAGTTACTCTGTTCCAGAGGAAAGACCTAAGCATTGTAATTGCTGGCGCAGGGAATAGAATCTGCGTTGTAACTTACAAAATGCCCTTTCTATGCAATGAAAGGTGTTATTCACAATATACAATGTAGTCCGTTGTTTAAATATTTATTGAACAGAGTTCATGTCACTTAAAATTAATAAACACATTTCACAAATATTACCTTCTTTTCTTCGTCCTTCTCAAAAAATACTTTAACTATCTCTGTAAACATATCTTCAACGAGTCCCATATACTGGTCTACAAGAGCTTGTTCCCAGCTATCTTTACCGGCTAAATCTGGAAATGTAAATTAGACGTCTTTGTAAAGCATTGTTCTGAGCGCGGTGTAATATATATAGAAAGGGCATGCTGTCCATGATTTACTGGGAAACTATCCTTTTCGTGTCCGAAATTTCGGAACCATTATAAAATCGACTTTAGTGCTTATAAGAAAACATTTACAAAATTAAATTTGCCAAGTCTGGCGGAGACGCTTGAATAATATAATTTTGTAAATGCGTATGCAGGATAACCACATTACTGTTTGAAATCAGTTTTTAAACTGTCGATTTACTTTTATATCTGTTTGTCAAGATATAAGGTATACATGTAATTAAATAAAGAGCTGTGCCCACTTACCGAACTCTCTAGCGGCATATCGTGCAATTGCTCCACTTTGTGCTAGCTTTTTACCGTCAACATCTAATACAGGCATCTGGCCGAATGGGGTTGCTGAAATAAATAAAATAGTTTTTCTATTCCGTACAGTATGGTATGTCCAGTTCGCTTTTAGTCTTGATTTGATGTAAACATAGTTTATTGCCAAAAAAAAAACATGCATACACGTAAAGACAGTTACAATACAATGACATGACATATTTGGCAAAAAGTGTTGACCCACAAGTTCTCTCAAGATTACTCTCCTGCGCATCGGTCGAATGTTCCACTATCGCTCACTGAAGTAACGGGAGTGTATTCAGTAAGCTGCGAAGGTGGCGTATCTCAAGATTAGCAACGGGTCTTCCCTGATGCATTAAGTTACAATAACATATTTTACAAAAATGACTATCAGTTAGATAGAAGTTAAAAATCACACATATATAGTACTTGGCTTTCAAAAAAAAATTTAGGTAAGAAAGAACAATAAAAATGATTGAGTGTACATGTTCTCTAGTTTGAATAATATTGAACAATGTTTTTAGTCTTCTTTTCGTTTCACTACATAAAGATATCGTATAAAGACGATATAGGTGTAAGGTAGAGAAAGGTTTTGTGTTATATAGTAAAACTTCTTTGCCATAACATAATGTACCCATTGTATAACTACTGCTTAGAACAAGATATGTAATGCCATGAAATGTGGAAGTCAGTAAGGGTCATCGCTTATGAATTATACTATGCGAATATCGGAAAGTCTCGAAAGAACGATGGAAAACACGATAATAAAGATGATTAATTTTTCGCCTTATTGACAAGTCATGTGTATTTGCATTTTGTTTCTTTTTCTTTGCGGTTCTTTTTTCTTCCTGTAACAGAATTTCGTTGTTTTCGCATTGTTCAAAAACTAGAAACTAGACTGTGCGTGCACATCTCATTCTGCATATTAATTAAACTAATGTAGATAATGTGTGTAAAGTGTCACTGACTCTTCTTACTACGATTAATGCATTGCCGACGCAGACATGTTTGCTTACACAATAGATAACTGGTATCTTAAGTATCCCAGTAGCTTTGTGTAGAAGTTTGATGATTAAATACATTCCTTTATTTAGCCGTAACAACTTTTAATCCTGAAGTTTACAGGATTGACTTGTTCTACAAAATGACCAGTTATTTACGCAATGTTTAATATATCAGTACTACGGAACGATTTTTTTTTTAATTTGAACTATTCGTCGATTCTTTATTATTTTTTATTCACTTATGACAAAATTCATAAGAATATGGCTAAATTCGATGATATAAATACATGTATATATCAAGTACGCGTACTGCGATCATCAGAAGTTAGTCGGAAGGACCGAAAAGTTGCAAAATGACCGGAAAGTTGCATTTAATATTAAAAAAAGAAAAAAACCCAATACAAAAACAAACAAACAAAATACTACTCACATTCCTTTCGTGATGGCCAATCTTCTCTAGCCACTCTGTCATCTTCAAAATCTCTACCAGCTGCATGGAACACGTATCTGACAAGTTCTCCACGACCTCGTACATCAAAGTAGGAGTATTTGTAGGTTGGCATTTTCTTTTTGAGAATTGCGAATCTTCCTGAAACGAACTATCGATTCAGATATAGGAATATGAAATGTACGTTGATCTTTTGGTCTTTTTTCATACTATTTTTTGTATAGTAAATTTATAGCTTATCATATGTGGTGCAACTAAGGAATTGTATAACAAAATGACATTTAAATAAAAAAAGGTAAGCACGCCCGTTTTCAAACATAATGACTATTAAGAAAACCAAGAAAAGAGCTATCAACTCAAAATGAAATGTTCAGTATGCAAAATTTTTGCTTAAACTACTTAGTGGTTATTTTGTTAATTAGTCAAGTTATATTCAAATGAACACGACAACGTGCCAAATTTTAACACAAAAATCAAGTCTGATACGATGGGAAGAGTAAAGAGTAAACTCACCTATAAATCAAATCCAACTGAACTGGTGACTGATGCTGACTTGAGTAACTGATTATAATATATATTGAAGTATTTATGGTAATGTTACAGTTCTAATTCTTGACCATCTAGGACATTCGATTGTACGTGCTTAGAGATATAAATACGGCTAATGAATGGGACGCTTAGTATACTTCCGGTAAAAAAGTCAGTGCACATTGTTTTGAATCTTAAAATTGATTTAAAAGTTATAGTATGAAAATAAAATTCTACTTCAACCAATTTCACGCTTTTAGTCTTGATTTGATTTAAACATATTTTATTGCCAAAAAGAACACATGCATAGACGTAAAGACAGTGACAATACAATGACATGACATATTTGGCAAAAATGTTGGCCCACAAGTTCTCTTAACATTAGCAATAAGTTACAATAACATATTTTACAAGAATGACAATCAGTTAAATAGAAAAAACAAAACTCACACATATATGAGCCGCGTCACGACAAAACCAACATAATGGGTTTGCGACCAGCATGGATCCAGACCAGCCTGCGCATCCGCGCAGTCTGATCAGGATCCATGCTGTTCGCTATCAGTTTCTCTACTTGTTATAGGGTATGTAAGCGATTAGCATGGATCCTGATTAGACTGCGCGGATGCCCAGGCTGGTCTGGATCCATGCTGGTCGCAAACCCATTATGTTGGTTTTGTCGTGACGCGGCTCATATAGTACTTGGCTTTCAAAAAAACGTAAAAGATTTTAGGTAAGAAAGAACAATAAAAAATGTTTGGGTGTACATGTTCTCTAGTTTGAATAGTATTGAACAATGCTTTTATTCTTCTTTTCGTTTCAATGTACAAAGACATCGTATAAAGACGATAAAGGTGTAAGGTAGAGAAAGGTTTTGTATTATATAGTAAAACTACTTTGCCATAACATAATGTACCCATCGTAAAACTACTGCTTAGAACAAGATACAATGCCATCAGTAAGGGTCATCGCTAATGAATTATACTATGCGAAAATCGGAAAGTCTCGAAAGAACGATGGAAAACATGATAATAAAGATGATTCATATTTCGCCTTATTGACAAGTCATGTGTATTTGCATTTTGTTTCTTTTCCATTGCGTTTTTGTTTTTCATTCTAAACAGAATTTCGATGTTTTCGCGTTTGTTTTCGTATTTTAAAAACTAGACTGTAAATGCACATCTCATTCTGCATATTAGACTAATGAAGATAATGTTTGTAAAGTGTCACTGACTCTTCTTACTACGATTAATGCATTGCCGACGCAGACATGTTTGCTTACACAATAGATAACTGGTATCTTAAGTATCCCAGTAACTTTGTGTAGAAGTTTGATGATTAAATACATTCCTTTACTTAGCCGTAAAAACTTTTAATCCTGAAGTTTATAGGATTGACTTGTTCTATATAATGACCTGTTATATACACAATGTTTAATAAATCAATACTACGGAACGATTTTTCTTTAAATTTGATCTATTCGTCGATTTTTTATTATTATTTATTCACTTATAACAACATTCATAAGAATATGGCTAAATTCGATAATATAGATATAAATCAAGTATACGCGTACTAATACGCATCGGAAGTTGGAGGAAGGACTGGAAAGTTGCATTTTATATTTGAAAAAGAAAAAAAAAAAACATTACACAAACAAACAAACGACGAAATACTACTCACATTCCTTTCGTGATGGCCAATCTTCTCTAGCCACTCTGTCATCTTCAAAATCTCTACCAGCCGCATGGAACACGTATCTGACAAGTTCTCCACGGCCTCGTACATCAAAGTAGGAGTATTTGTAGGTTGGCATTTTCTTTTTGAGAATTACGAATCTTCCTGAAACATATTGATTCAGATATAGGAATATGGAATGTACGTTGATGTTTTGGTTCTTTTTTACTATTTTGTTTAGTAAATTTACAGCTTGTCAAGTATGGTGCAACTTAGAAATTGTATAACAAAATGACATTTAAATAAAAAAGGTAAGCAATTTTACATGCACACCCGTTTTCAAACATAATAAATGACCATAAAGAAAACCGAAAAAAAGAGTGATATGTTCAATATGCAAAGTTTTTTTCTAAAACTACTCTCTGATTATTTTGTTAATTAATCAAGTAATTATACTTTGAACACGACAACATGCCAAATTTTACACAAAAATCAAGTCTGATATGATGGGAAGAGTCAAGAGTAATCTCACCTATAAATCTAATCCAACTGAACTGGTGACTGATGATTACTTGAGTAACTGATTATAATATATATTGAAGTATTTATGGTAATGTTACAGTTCTAATTCTTGACCATCTAGGACATTCGAGTGTACGTGCTTAGAGATATAAATACGGCTAATGAATGGGACGCTTAGTATACTTCCGGTAAAAAAGTCAGTTCACACTGTTTTTGAATCTTAAAATTGATTTAAACGTTACAGTATGAAAGTAAAATTCTACTTCAACGAATTTCACATGCACACGTGTATAAGTCACGAAACATACAGTGTTTGAAATGTGTAAAAGATATTTGCTATAAGGTCTACCCAATGCAATATTTTTGAGTGGTGATTTTAAATGCAACACATAAAATTTTCTATTTATTTAATATTTTTAAGTTGTCTAAAGTCACTTTTACTTATTTTCGCGGAAATCTTACATCACATTGTCCACGTTGAAACGAAATTCTGTAAAGATTTCTCTCTTTTTTTTAAACCTACATTTCTTTAATTGAATTGTTCAAATATGTAGTTCGGTAACTGTAAAGTTATGTTTTGATAAAAGAATTTCTATGAAAAACATGTAATACTATGTAGAGGGCATTGAATAAGTGTAGTTTTAACTAAATCTATTGAACTCGTTGAATAAAATCATAGTATGCAGCCTCTACACGACTATAATATTCTTTTTATCTCATACCCAAAATAAGAACTATTTTCAATGAAAAAAGAGTTACTTTTTCATTGACTCGCATATAGTGTATCATTTAACGCGTCTTTACGCTATGTATAAGCAAATGACGTCTCGTCGGGCGTGCAGTTACGGTTTAACGGAGTCGCAAAAGCGGCACGGGTATGTGATATAAAATCCTGCGACCTTATATCATTGACCTATATTATAATTGACGACCAAAATTTGTTCTGCAGTGTAAGTCGAGACAGCTTTTACTCCTAACTAATAATGACATACATTTACTTTACACACTATACTAATATTTGAGGTACAGATAAAGTTATTCAAATAAACGACTTACGAGTACGACATTACAACCTCTGTTATCTAAAATCCTGAATGAATTGAAATTTCATTGGACCATATACTATCAAGTTTGTACAGCATATAGCCATATATAAACTATATGAAGTCAAGGTCATATAGCCAGACTATATATCAGCATGTAGTCAAAATACAAGAAAGGTAAACCGTTTCTTTCTATTGCATTAAACAGAGACCCAGAAGTGAATCTACGGCAGTAACAATTTATATAAAGATAAATTATCGAACATGAATTATTAGTGCGATATGAGTGCGCCCTACGAGTTTCAACTCAGCTCCCATTACCTTGGATTTTTTTCGAATAACTTGACTGGTAGCACATATATGATAACCAAAGACATACTAGCTTACTCTACAACAATTACGACCAGGTAGCTGGACGAAAAAAACAAAACAAAACAAATCGAGACTAGCCTAGAAAACGTATGTTTTTCTTGACTTATTATTTTCAAAACAACTTGCTCATATGGAAAAATGGTGTCATTTCCGATTCAAATTCTAACTAAGTTAATTATTCACATGACAAGTCGTTCGTTATCTTAATGATCAACATTATTTTTTGTCCAATCACATTGCAGTATTTTTCAAATTTCTGCTAAGTCTAACTTTGGTTAATGAACTAAATAAAATTCACTTAATCAGTCGTCTAACCAGTCTAACTAATTTCAATAATGCATTATATAAATGAGGAGTTAGAGGTGTGGTTTGCACTTTGAATTGTAAAATATCTAGGTTAGGCGGAATTTCAACTCAACACTTTGGCTTCAAAACAATGCCAACGTAAAAAAATTAGGCGAGGTCAGGTGTTTCTAAATGTGAGGATACAATCAAATTTATAACATAGTTAATACATGTGGGGCACGCAGAGACAAATGATTACAAAGTAACTTTTTTATATCCTTTTAACTCAAAGAAATATGTCTGTTATAAATTGCTGACTGTTTTGAGCTTAATATTTTCTAGAAAAAGTAACCAAAGCATTATTTTCTTTCAGTTGATAGGAATGAACTGCATTAACAGTCCTTGATATTAGGAATACAATGATTACATTTTTTGGCTGGAAAACTCATTGTAAATGGACCCCTCCACTTGTAAACCTAAATTGACACACAGAAAAAAAAATAAAAAAGTGAACTGTTTTTCAATTGAGCAAACAAATAGGGATTTTAAATATAAGTGAATAACTTGAAGCTAATAACGAATTTGTATCAATCAATTAATGATCTCTGATGTATTTTCTCACATTTTCCATTTATTTTAAAAGGATGTACACATTTCATTAACTCCATTGTTTTTACCTTATTGCATCGTGTTCCTCGCAAATCATATATAGTTTAAATAACAAAATTTCTTGAAAAATGTACTGAAAACTGTTGGCGTTATGGAAAATATTCTTCGCGGTTACACGCCGCTAAAATTAAAAGCGGCCCCGAAAAAACGCTCAGGCGGTCACGATATTTTTGTCATTATGCTGACGCCGTCTATGACACTTAAATGAATAAAGAAGGAACCTATTTAAATTAGGTATAATATACATGTAGTAAGATAGTTATTTCCACCTACCCCCGTACGTATTGCATGTATAGATACAGTATCACGGTTGTCGGCGTATTAAACTGATGTTTGGTTTTTTAATTCCATATATAATATTATGCGTACAGTTACACAAAGCATTTTTTTCTTCATTTGCATTTGAAGAAAAAGTAGTTTTTTTTTTCTAAATTGCTATCACTTTTTGACTGGTCCATGTGGTCATGGTTTAGTATATTTGCGTGACTTTGCGATACACTTTGTTTAAAAGTTGTTTAATGGCGGGAGGATTCAATATGTTCTTTGTGCTAGCAGATATAGAGAAATAGGGCTTTTATATGTCATTAATTTAAACTGTTCAAGAACAAGTTGAAAGATACAAAAACATTTATATTGGCAGGGTTTCCGCTGCAATCGCCAATTCCACAAGTGGCGAAAAAAAATAAGACCTACTGCCCTGCTTATTCAGCAGCTCCTCGTTATTCGAATTTCGCTTATCTCGGCTGCTCAATAAAAGTTCGAGATATCTAAGGTCAACTGGATGTTGTATGTTTTAGGACGTTCACTATCGTTTATCATAGTATCATACTGTATAGTTATGTCTTGACACATATTTAAACAAACTATATACATGTATGAAAGTATGTTAATTTTACATTTTACACAAAAATACAACGTTAAAAATCCCGTTCAGACATTTATTTGATTGATGAGTTTGTCACGCTCCGTGAATCAAACTCAATTGATACATCAACATGACACTTATTGACAATTAATGACGTCATGCCATTAACGTATTTTAGACAATCATATATTAGGTCAGCGTAGTTTTGATTTGACATCTTTGGTAACTTAACGTCATAATATTATATTGATTTTTAATGTTAGTATGTAAATTTAATCTTACATATAAAACAAGAATAATTTTGAGTCGCTCACATCTTAGCCAGTCAAAATATTTGTTTAAGTCATAAAGTTCTAGTAGTTCAACTCAAATTCACCTAAAAGACACAGACATTTGGGGTTTGGAGCTCAAAACGCCTTTAAAATCCAAATAAAATGCATATTTGTCAATCCCAGCACATGTACTGATCATATATATCAAAAAAAAACTTAATATAAGCCGTTTTGAAAAAATTTCATATTTCAACATCTATTATAATTATAGATGTTGAAATATGAAATTTTTTCAAAACGGCTTATATTAAGTTTTTTGATATATATGATCAGTACATGTGCTGGGATTGACAAATATGCATTTTATTTGGATTTTAAAGGCGTTTTGAGCTCCAAACCCCAAATGTCTGTGCTAAAAGATAGCCCGTCGTCCAATCGCAATATGTCCTTTCATTCAAGAAAAATACACGGAGAGTACAAATATGAAACAATTGTACGTTAAAGCACACACACAAAAGTTTTGGGGTAAAATTAGAAAAAAGGCACACACAACGCAATTATCAATGATTTGTGGATTTCTCGTATAAGCCTAATAAACAAGTCTGGGGTTAGCACATACAGTATTTTGGTATACTACTAACAAACGCTGTTTTCAAAAAAGTCTTACCCCCTTTTATATGTATCAGTAATTTCTTGATAACCCGTTGTCAAAGTCGATTTATTTTTTATTTATTTATTTATTTATTCATTTATTTATTATCGTTACATTGATGAAATCATTCTTTTTTTTATTGTAAACAATTATGTGATAGCATATAAATTTACAGTAGTGATTACACAACATAATTTAAACTTTTACAAAAAGAAGGGTGGTAAAGCAAACCAAATAGAATAAACAAAATGACGAGAACAAACAATGATATGGTTTGTTGTTAATAGTTCATATAAAAATTACTGGATTAACTTGTAGGTAAATCTATCCCGACATGTAACAAAAATATTTATTTGATGTCTAACTTGTTTGATTATGTTAAGTTTACAGACGCTCATATATCACCTCTCCGTTAAAGATAATAAAATAAGTTCTTAAGTTATCATTTCCGTTGCTGGTACCGTAAATGTCCCTAATCACAATTTCGTTATCTTACAGGACACGCGTATCTTTGTCTACGCAATAAAGTTGCCATGAAGAAGTACGAGATTGTTGCATAATCGCATTAATTAATGATACTTACAAGTGTGAATTATAAATTTTATTACCGTTTGTCTGGTTCCCCTCCAATGTCGGTTTATGAACAGAACGGAACAGAACATAAGTTTATTAATAAATCGTATGCGAACAGCATATTGATTAAACAATAATATTTTACATGCATGCATAAAAGTATGTAATGAGAGCATATACAATAATGAATCAATGTATCAAAGATAAATACAAAGTCTACATATTTTCGATAGATTTGAGATATTCGGCTTTGCTATTTCTGACTATTCATATACAATTATGATAATGAAAATGTCAAACTTGGTAATTGTTATTCATTATGACACAGTATTTTAAGTTAAGTATTTTAATTAACTATTTGTATTTAAGAGAGTCTTTCTTTCTTCAAATGCTTTGATTAGATATTTTGCCAGTCTGTTATAAAATTTGCACATCACTGGATGATAATAAATCAATGAATTTAATCATATTTGGCCTTGTTCTGTACCAATGTGGTATATACTGTCTTCTAATGTTATTATACACCGGACATTCTAATATGAAGTGGAATTCATCTTCTATTGTTCGTTGAAGACATAATTTACACAGACGCTCGTTCCTAGGAATGTTCCTATGCCTACCTTGTTCAATTTCAAGGCAATGAGAGGACAAACGTATTTTTGTTATTACATTTCTATATTTCTTATTTTCCATCAATATTAAATAATCTGCCATTCCAAAGTTTTGTTTAATACTATTAAATAACATGATACTTGGGCTACTTCGCGTACACACTCTCCATTCACTAACATATATGTCATAACATCTTCGTTTGAATATTGGTATAAACGCGTTAATATCTACCGAACGTGGATATAGCCATACTTCCCCAAAGCCACATACATCAAGTAGTTTCTTCACTTTTGAGGCCCAGTTTTGCAGTCCATTTTCAGCTGTTTTTAAGATAGATTCGTACACATTCCATATTATACAGTTCCGTTGTCCGTTGTGTAAAAGTTTCAACCAAAATTTAACAATTCGAACTTTTCTGTTAAGAACTAGTGGATGTCTACCCGTTTCACCGTATATGCCATGGCTATATACTTGTCGATAGTTTCACATTTAGGACTCGCTTAATGAATTTTCGGTGTACACGTTCTATTACTTCTGCGGATGAAAAACCCCATATTTCAGCACTATAACAAAGGATAGAAGTAACATATGCGTCGAATAGGTTGAATTTTATCTTAACTGGCATTTCTATGTCTTTTGTTACCGATAGTAAATTGTTCATGGATTTTATAGCCTTTGATGCAAGGGCATCAATGCCCCGTTTCGCCGAACCATTACTGCTTAGTACGTAGCCCAGATAGTTGAAAGATTCGACGATATCTATCCCGTTGCCGTTATATGTCCATGTTTCGTTATCTCTCACACGCCCGTTACCTTTTTTGAATACTATAATTTTTGTTTTCGTTACATTGACAGTTAATCTCCAATTTACACAATAGTTATATAGCAAATCGAGATGTGATTGCATTCCTTCCGGGGTTTCGCTCAATAGTATGCAGTCATTTATGATACCCTGGGCAGCTGCTAAACCCAATAACCAGTACGCTTAGAAATCCATTTAATTGAAACAGATAACCTTGAGTAAAATGAAAAATTATATTAATGCTAATATGATACTGTCAATAATTATTATAGATATAATAATAAAGATAAAGTAATAATAATAATAAATAGAAGTGATATAAGAAAACGCTTATAATGATGATGATGGTGCCTTATTTGAGCATTTAATAAAAATCGGCAGCAAATCAGTTATTTAACTTTTTTATTACATTTTAATAGTTTATAAAACATGTCAGTTAACCGAAACAACTCTATCAAGTCTTGCAAGATTGAGAACTTCTTTTTTTAACATGACCAACATAGAAATACAAATACGAGTATAAGCTACGCATTACAATCATCTTTCTTTCTTTCATCTTTTCTTTCTTTCTTTCTTTTTTTCTTTCTTTCCTTAATGGTTTGGTCTGGTTTAAAGTCACACTCGAGGATCTTAAGCCCCCGTGCAATTTTCAGGCACGAAAACAGCATCCGAACATCGTTATTTACTGGTTAATGAATCGTGTAAGGTAATTTTCACCAAAAGAGTATCTCTTTTGGTGACACGAGCTATGATTTTAAGGTTAGCTCGGCAGATAGAGGTCACAATATCCTCAGCGTCCTATCAGGTACCAAAATGTTTGAAGCCACCCTAAAAATTTGATAAAACTATGAAAATTAAGCGGAATTCAATTTTAGCAGTTTCCAAGCATGCAAAGGGTTGATTCGGTGCTTGAAAAAGTATATATACCATTCATTATTTCATTTGCATTTCATCAGTATTGTGCATAAAAAATCATATGATATGACAACAAGTGACAACAATAAACGCAATAAAACCTCCCTTTGTTTTACTCCAGTGCAAGTGAATAATTAGCTGTCAAGAAAGACGGATCCGTTCAGGTGAATTTTCGCATTAATTCGTGGGATATTAACGCATGAGTTATTTAATATACATGAACACTATGATTTCCTTTGTAATAAGTTGGCTTTAACGTCTTTGATCAGTTGTGTTTTAATTAGACATAAAAATAACATATTACGAGTATTTTCCAGATGCGTGATACAATTAATAACAAAAAGGAGCAAGTTTATCGTGCTTATCAGTAAATAATATAAGTTTCGTTTTTCGAAAATTTTCGACAAGTTAAATAGGAAAAGATATGTTTGTATAAATGAGAGGCAGTATTTGAACATCTTAACTGACAGTTGAAAGTCATCGTTTTCGGTATTTCGGACTCATTAATTAAAACAACGGTGATATATTGACATTGGAATTTGGTTACATCACCAGGCGCAATTTTTGTTTTCCTTCATTTGAAATACCATACACACTTTCTACTGATAAAGTCAGGACTTTATCAGTATTTTGGTTTGTAATAGTAACAAAATTAATAGAATAGAATCACCGGATTAAGATAATACCGTGACTCATAACCGTTCTGTTATCATTTTCCACTAACTGTCAACTGTGATTTAACATTTAACCTTGTGAAATAAGTACAGTTTTTGTAGGTGTATCTGAACAAAACAAAGATTGATAAAAAATATTTCATTTTTTAAGGGACTGTTCACCTGTTATCAAGCTTAATTGGTTTCGAAATAAAAACGGAACTTTTAACGTGAAATTGTTACAGAAATATTTGAAGAATCTTTAAAGATGGCGGAACTCTGATATGGAGAATCAGAATCCGAACGCAGTACAAAGGAGTGTATTAAAGAAGACACAAAAGAGGTTGAACAGGTTAATTCGCCTACTGATGAAGAATGCACATATATCAAAGCGGGCCAACAGTGACCGAAATGACATATTGGATGAGTTTTTCGCGCGGTCTTTAGCTAGTAAAATGTTTACAAATGGATTTTCTGTCGGACCTTTCGGATTAACAACGCCAGTACCAGATATTTCTGAAAGAGAAACATCTAGTGTGGCACCTACGCCACAAAACGAGTTTGAAGCTTTAGAAGCGGATATGGGCACAATTTGTAATGGTATGTTTTTCATTTTTTAATAAATGTTAATTAAAGTTGTTAACTTCGTTGCTAAATGTTTTATAACAGTCCATTTTGACCATTTTGTCATTATATGAAAATAAGGTAATTTATAAACGACACATTATGTGACCTTTCTTGGATAATACTGTTGAAAAAGGCAATAGGAACTTTTAGCGTCTGCTTGTTTATATGCCCTCTAGCAAAAAGCGCACGTACACAATTTCTTATTTTCAATTCCAAATTCTACAAAGATGTAAAAAAAAAGCAAGTTGATTTTGATTGAGGTAAAAAAAAAAACAATAAAAAAAAACAAAACAAAAAAACGAACAAAAAACAGTAGAGAATTGGACAATATCACGTACTAAATTTTTACTATCATCGTTAACTTTAAAGCAGCAGGCCTCTAGATGCATGCATAATTTCATGAAAAGTTTGAAAATGTATTTAAATGAAGTGAATTTACAAATTAAAACCATAGCAAATTACCAAAAACGTCAAAATATGCAAAATAGCCCTTTCTGCGTTTGTTTAACAGTAGAAATATAGTAACAAATGCCACAAAATCAGCTATTAATCGCACAAAACATGTAAATAATTACTTGAATATTTTGACTTATCTTAAAATTCTAGTACATTTTTCTCAAGTTTAATATTTTAATATATTGGCTCATCTGGAGGAATACAACTTTTAAAGTTTGTAATAAAATATGTTTACAAGTTTCAGCATTTTAAATTAACACATAGCCGACCGTGTTAAAGTTTCTCAAAGTATGAAAAAAATGATGACCTGAGAAGGAATTGTTTTGGCATAATTTTAAACGATTTCAAGAGATATCAACTATTCTGGCATCTTAAAGTCAATAATAATTTATCAGTAGAACTTGAAAAATCCATTAACAAAATGATAGTAAACGACTGACACTTGCCATGTAGTTATCAACCCCATGTTTAACGCCTTATATGATACTTTATTTACCCTTAACATGCTCGAACCAAAAGTTATAAGCATTTGCCGCCAGTATAGAGCCAGGCCAGTCTGCTCATCCGTACAGTCTGTCTAAGCTCTGTACTGTCAATTTTTGTATTTTATATTGAAATCCCTTAAAGTTTGTATGTACTGTTCCAACTTAAAAGCAGGGCAAAATCCATTATACAAAGTCAGCAGATTAGGAGTTCAAAGTGTTGTTTAAAGAAAACCAGGTTTTAAATACTAGAATGGTTTGGCCATATTTGCATATTGGTTCCATACTTCATTTGACTAGGCATAAAGCTTTTAATATAAAAATAAAATTTATATAAAAAATAAATTTTATTTAAGATTAATGGTCCTCCGTGTACGATGGGTGAAAATCGCTGACTTTTGAAATACTTTTCATTTAAGGGTTTAATTGATTCCTGGAAAGTTTTTTGGGGGGATTATTTATATAAGGTATCCATTTAACTAGCTTACATAAGGTGGGTTGATCTACTTTATTGCCTCTTCGTGCATGAAATAATGCACGGGGGGGAGGGGGCACTGAGTTCTTCCTCCGACATTCTCAAAATTAAATAATCTAAATATGATCTTTTTATAGTGAATGCTTGACTTTCTTTAAAACCCCAATCGAATGAAATATATATGATAATACTTGATTATACTTACTTAGCTGTGCAGTTATCATTCATACATAATATATTTAATAAATGTTATAAATAATAAAGATATTGCTAATGTATTATGAAGTGAATAATACCAGTTTACAAAAAAAAAATTCTGATGCAGTGGCGAAAACATAGAAAAATGTAGGACGCGTTGGTGAGTGTGAAAATACATCATTAGTGTCTGCGTAAGTCGTAAATCTGACAACCTCTGTCGTTTTACAACATGTAAGTATTCTCGCCCGAGGCATGCTGGGAAAATTGACACATGTATATAAATAAGAAATCATTGTTTCTGGTATATAATACACTGGTAACATATGTATATATACATAGGCTTTCATTGAGTCATAATTGATGAAATGACGTCAGATTGCTCATCATAATTTATCATTTGTTACTAAAAAATGTATCATAAATTAGTTAGACTTGACTGGTTCCTGTGGCGATATGACATCTGCTGCAGACTTTTTTTATGCTATAGCAACAACAAAATTTTATTTTGGTCGGGGGCCGAGGGTTATCAAGCTCAAACCCATTGTTGTACATGTACTTACAAAGATCCATAACCGAACCCCCTCCCCACCCCCTTTATGTTTTCTGTAATGATTACGAAACAATTCCATGACGTCCATTTCTCTAACTTCTAAGTATTGTGACTCAATATATAACCAATAATGTCGCACTCTATGTAACTTTTTAAAAGTATGATCCTCCAGATATCCGTTCGGCGACAAATGTTTTATTTTTCATCCTCGTAATAACAAATTAGTGCGTGCAACGTTTTTGCTGTTGTTTCATCTTTAACTTACGACATTGTTTTTCGAATAGAAATATGAAAGATTTAAGAACTTTACTTTGTAAACATGTAATTTATCATATAAGCAAAACTTTCTAATCAATATTATAAAATCCACCAATAATCGCAGATTCTACGGACAAATGCAGACCAAGATTAGCTGTACATCGGCACCGTCCGATCATGGTCAGCACTGATCGATAATCAGTCAATATATTCTTATCTAGATATTTTCCTTTAAAACGATGTATGATTTTGTTTAGGCTGAAAGATAGACACGTCCATTGTTAAAAGAACATAAGCTTACACCTACAGTAAAATACTTTGTTGGGCTCCGACGTAAATGACGTTGACGTCATTTCATAAATCAAAAGTATTGCCACTCTATACCGCTGTCTTTCAATGATCGTCTTCCAATAGCTTTTATTTATTGATTTATTTTTTAAATTTTGCTTGTTTTTAATCCGTTTGGTCTCAATAACGCTCTAGATAATATATACTGGCCGCTAATTTAGACTTTATGAGCTATTTACCTCTTTTGACTTGGACCGCATTTCACGTTTTTGGTGAAAAGTTTATGTCATAATCGATAAATTTGGTGAAATCACCTTGATTTTCTGATGACAGCAGGAAACTCGTGACTATACCTCAATGTCAAAAATATACCGCCGCCGGCAACTCGATGATTTCCCGACGAACTATCCAATCGTTTAACTTTGAAAGTTAATGATATGAAATTATAGATATTAATATTATTTTTTTGTCCGTCTTAAGTGAATTGTGGATAAAGATAAAATACTATATTCGGAAATTACTACGTAATTTATTTCGTTAAATTATAGACTGCGGAATTTGAACGTTCTAAAAGATTAACTTAAACAACGTAAAATTAAAAACGTCAATATTTAGCTGCACGGATGAAAATTAAATGACTTACAGTAACAAAAAGTACCAGCATCTTGAAGTATAACAACAACGATAAACAAATTTGAAATAAGCTAGAAAACAGAAAACATAACGTACTAAAACATTAATAAAACAAAGAAAAGTATTTGGATTAATTCGACATTCAGTAAAAAAAGAATATTTTCAAATGAGTTACCAGTTGAATTAAAAATGAAGTTTACGAAAACGTGCTAAAAAAAACACATAAAAACAAGCACTAAGGAACACTACGTAAATAATGGAACCAATTGCACTGGCAAGAAAGGGTAAAAAGAAGAAAGGAAAGGAAAACAAGGACGAAAATACTGATGAAAATATAAAGAATAGACCGGAAAGGAACGATTTTCCACGGTTTCCAACTGAAGTTGATATTATGTTGGAAATAGTGGGCAGAAACGTAGATCTTATACAAACAACTTGTACAAAGGGTAAAAAAAGTAATCAATTTTTACCATCAATCTTATAGTCTATGTTTAATTTGTGCTGGATATATAGAGTGATTCGCAAATCTTCTACAGCACTTGTTTAAGATTAAGTATTTCGGATTGATATATTTTCCTTAAATTTGTGTACCATTTGATGTAGATCAGGTCTAATAATTTCCGTGCAAATTTTCAAATCATTCTTTTACGCAGTTGTTCGCTCACATCGTGCTAAGAATCAACACAAACAACCGATATTCAATGTTATACTGATTATATTTCTTAATTATTCTTTTATCCAATTAAAAGGATTCACTTGACCTATTAAAGAATTTAAGATTCTATTTTTAGACTCAGTGGAGCTCCTTTAACACTTTAGTATCTGAAATGAACAACATCACATCAAAAAGAATACTACCTTTATATATAGATAAACATCTATTCTGGTAGAACATAGTGTTGAATATAATGAACGGATACTGTTGTCGTATATATATGAAACTTTGGTTTTTAAAATGAAGAAAATGTCATTAAAATGCAGATGATAATAAAGTAAGCAAACACAAAAAACAAGTCGGGGTTAACCACATAAAATAACAAGTTTGGAGGGATTTTAACGTATCGACCGAAAAGACGATAGCAATAATAATAATAATAGCATTGGACCATGCTATACAAAACAGACATCTTATTTTTTGTCGTTTTTACGTCATGATTAGGGAAAAATATGCTTTTACTTTTTGCTGTATTATCTCATAAACTTGATCGATAGTTTTTCACTAATTTGAGGGCAGTAATTACTTGTTGGTCAATTTCATTGGCCAGTTATAGCTCAAATCAATTTATTGTTGCCTTAGGCAAGACAGCCACTTCCGTTAATAGAATACACAATTTGCGTTATATTGAAATAATTATAAACCCACAAAATAAACTGTTATGTTTACATTTGACAAGACTTTAAAGTATACGAACTATACAAACGCTGTTTATCTTTTTTCCCGCCTAAAAACAAAAACATAACAAGCCTTTATATGACCACTGTAAAACATTTCCGTTGAAAATAGGGACCGTAGGGACGTGTCCGATGCAAAACAGTAGTTCTGGTACACTTAAAATAAATGTAAAGTTAATTATGCGTGTTTGGACCAAATTACATGTTTTTATTATATAAAAGAAAATGAATAATAAGGATATATGATTGAGTTTACATTATTTTGTATTTATTATCTATTATCAGTTATTACACTGTTTGACATACTGCAAGTTACCAAAGTCCCATGTACTGTAACATTTTTATTTCTATAGATGAAATCCATATAAACAAAATACATGTACATGTTGTTATTTATGACAGTTATTGTCAAGGTAAATGAGCCGCGTCACGACAAAACCAACATAATGGGTTTGCAACCAGCATGGATCCAGACCAGCCTGCACATCCGCGCAGTCTGATCAGGATCCATGCTGTTCGCTATCAGTTTCTCTACTTGTTATAGGGTTTGTAAGCGAACAGCATGGATCTGGATCAGACTGCGATGATGCGCAGGCTGGTCTGGATCCATGCTGGTCGCAAACCCATTATGTTGGTTTTGTCATGACGCGGCTCAAATAATGTCGTGTTCCTTCGAGAGATTCGCGAGATGTTAAGTCTCGACAAACGTGCATATGACCGATCATCTTATTATTTGAAAACAATGTACGTGCACGTCCAGACAGTGAAATTTATACATCGACTTTCACCCAAACGTTAGAACAAGCATATTTTTTCAAACACTATTTTTGTTCTATTTTCAGACATAAGGGGACGGGACAGGGCGTGTTGTAACTCAGCTAGCAAATGTTTCGATGATGTGAAAGGAGTTGTTGATGAGTTAGACAACACACCAGTAGATTCTTTCTCTCTCATGTCGGCATGCAGGTAATATATCATATTCTTTATATAAAAGTAATATTCACATGGTGTCTAGTGTTAACACATTGTCATTACACTGAACATCTGTTTATTTATGTTATATCTTAAAACAAAGCTACATTTTTTTGTTGAATCAAAGTTTAAATTAGCCGTGCACTTTTAGCGATGTTTAACACGTCTAGTTTTATACCAACAATACATTCATATCAGATCATATAACTGATGTTAATTGATCGTTTGTTACCTGTTTTCTATCTTTCAACTGTCCGTCTGAAAATAGCAAAATAAAATGTAGCAATGTTTATGTCCGAATACATTTGATACATGGTTTTTATAGTTCATTGATATGCATGAAAGTGAAAAACTTATATCTACATGTACAAATGTTTGCTAAATCCGCAAAACTCGTTTGAATTAGATCTTGTTTGAACATATCAGTATTTTAACTTATTTAGAAAGCAGTTGAGGTTATTGCCCTTGGCCATATAGATGCTAATTAAATATTTACTCGGCACCGGAAAACGCGAAATATCCCGAAGTTTATCGAACTTTATCGAAGTAATACTTAAAGTTCGAGTCATATATTTGGTCTCAGAGTCGGTATGGTCTTTACTTTTACTTTTCAGAAAAGTAAGCGCAGAGTTGAAAAGAGACAAAGTTTGTGTTCAGCGTTCATTATCTCGTTGTGGCGGCCCGGACAGGATCATCTTACAGAGAAGGTTTGATAACCGTGTAGACAGACTGTATAACCAGTTTTATAAACACTGTAGCAGACGTCCAACAAATGCATCAACCTCCACCACCCAAATAACACCAACTACAACACTAGGAGGTTCTAGAATTTCTGGTATGTCCTCTGAACTAAATTCGCCATCATTCTAGTACAAGTAAACAGGCAACCGTGTATTTTTTTTCATTTATAAAGGCGGTTGGTGTTACATGTATTTGTTAATATTGTAATATTTCACACTGCTGAACCATAAAAACATTTATAGATGGAAATAAATTGTGTTGCAATTTATAAATGACGTCGCTAGTCTAGTAGTGTGTAACCAGCCTTTTTATTGTACAATATCTCTCAGTTACCTCGTAACTACTTTTAAGTCGCCTTTTCTTTGCTGTTTTTTTACATTGTATTCCAAAAAATTAAGAATTCTTTTGCATGTGTGTTCACGTTTAAACATTTGTAAACGCTGCCAGAGATTTTTATTTAAATATTTACAAATGTCATTGAAGGTATAACACGAAAAGAGGAGACCACCCCCGATCCTCATATTCCATCAGCGGTACAGCCCACATCATCATGGACCAACGCATTTCCGGAAGTTACTCCTCATGATCATAGGGGACACAGTCATGGAGGACATACCGTAGGTGGCGCTGAGCATAGCCCCTCTACTTCCGGTGCAATAATCGCCGGGGCGTTAACTGGCGGTATAGTTCTGGGATTGGTTCTTTTCGTGGCAGTGATATTGTGGTGCAAAAACAGACGAGACAAGTAAGTGAGATGAAGGAACGCACATAAATAAATTATAGTTGAAAGTAAATTGAGACGAATGTTTAATTGTTAATAAAAGGAATGCCACAATCATCCAAACCAACCATTTGTAAACTGTAGTGTACAGAAGATAAACTTTATAAATTTAATGTACAGTACATATATCTGAGAAAGCATATTTTAAGAATGTGATTGGTCTGTTCAAGTTACAAGTCTAAAAGGGCATACTGATATATAAATACTCCCACACACACATATATACATTTTCCGGATTTACAAGATAAACGTGTGTTCAGTGAACGTTATTCAGAACCACGTCTTGCCTTGCCTCTAACTTAAACCGCATCCAGCGAATTCTATGATTCCTTCAGCAGTAAAGAAAGCAAACCATTGTGTCGATAATTTATTAAGATTATCATAAAACTCTATTTTAAATTTTTTTGTCAATAATTTCAGGAATGGTTCAAATGGCTCGTCGGATAGTGCTGGCATTTTCTTTCAGAAGCGACCAAACATGTTCTCTACGGAGAGACCAGGAGCAGACAACAACAACAAACCGCCTGTAACTAGACAAGAATCCACAATATATGCCGAAATAGATGAAGCCATGGTAAGTAATGATACAAATAATAATAATAATAATAATAATAATAATAATAATAAAAAAGAATAAATCGAAATTATCCATTAAATAATTCTCAAAGATATTTTTTTTGTGTGAAGATTTTAAACAAATTCTAAGTGGTTTGAAATTGATGTGTCAATTTTGTGATTATTATAATTTTGCATGTTTGTATCGCTGGTTTCCGTTGAAAAATTGAGACAATTATAATTATCTATATACACGGTTGCTTAAAATATGAATTAAATTTTCTTTCATTAAACTGTCATAATTATATCTTCATAACTAATAATTATTCTCTGTAGCGTTTTGAAATTATAAACCATTGAAAGAAATTTAAGCGATCTTTAGTATTGTCGTTCTTTTATATGCTTTTGAAGTATAATTTGAATTATAAACGTATATATCACACATTTTGTAGGTTAATCCTGGATACAAACCTCCCGTTCCTGGCACTTTAACTCATATGGGTTACCTTAATCCTGTAAGCGACGGAGATCCAGACTCATACACACCACCGCCAACTTCCGGTCGGGAAACCAATGCTCCAGCGGTCACCACTCGCGGTCAGCTCAGTTATGGACCAATACTGGCAGCTAATGGTGGACCTGGACAAAACAAACACCTCTTTTACGCTTCGACTTCCATGACTGACACAAATGTTCACAATCGCGAAACTATTTTGACACCCAGAAACTTACCCCCACTAACCGGAAACGGAAGTGGATCTCCAGACGACAATTACTTGACTGCTGAGTCCATTGAATCTTCTCATGATGGCAGTTTGGACGATTACGAGGAACCAGTAAGTACATACAACTCTATACGGTATACTGACCTAACAGATGGTGCCCCGCCCGAACACAATGCACCGGATGTTCCACCGGAAACAAATGTCAAAAGTGCTCCAAAAACTACTCCTAAGAAAAATGGAATACAAGTTCTTCCTTCGAATCCATTTAAACCATTCGGCTCTTCTCAAGATTTGCAATCATCTGACTCTATTCAACCTATTGCCAAACCTAGACGTAAGAAAACCGGAGTAGATGACGTATCACAGGAAACAAATCCACGTGCAGTGTCGGCTGCATCTGAGAAACAGGGTGAAATGGAACTTTTAAAGAGATCGGATGCAATGGCTTCCAATAGAGATTCAGCAATGTCTGACTCAAGCACTAAATCAAGCCACCATTATTTCGTTCTGGAGCCTGATCACGACCACATGGACTATGAAAATTCGGTCAGCTCCCCAAAACTAGTGTAGGAAAACTCAAGGTGAACTACTTTTTATAAAAAAATGAAAGTATGTCTGTTTTCGAATGTGACTTTTATCTTTTGTAAAAGAACCCTTTTAATCAAACTGCTGGATTCGGTTTTGAGGAATATTTTCTCTATATAAAATATATATTTTATAGTTATATCATATTGTACAGTTACATGTTTAAGATTTTTCAAGGCCATCCGCTGGCGAATGGTCAATTGTGAAACTTACTAATGGAAATACTCGTACTTTATGACAACGTTCTTCTTTCTATTAAACTTTAAACATATATTTTATTATGTGGTATAAAATTTTTGTTTATATGACACTTAAGAATTGTTATTTCAAATGTACATGTACATGTTTTAAGTAAATGATGAAAATACTACTTTGGTGTCTTTAATCTCTGGAAATAACGAAAAGAAAATAACATGTATGTTTGTATAAAAATTGGTTTATTTTTCAAACACAATTGAACAATTTGTATGTACACGAATATCAAAATCTTAACATACGAGTGATATGTCATTCTTTTTGTATCTAGCCTGCAAAGGCCCATTAAGCCTAAACAATGTTGTCATTTTAATTTAAAAGCGAAACACTTCTTGAATATAAATGAAAATAATAAAAAAATAAGACAATAGTATAAGTAATCCCATGGTACCATAGTTATTCTACACATTAATTAGTACTTTGCGTTTTAAATACCAGCTACTTTCATGACATCGTGCCGCGTAAAAATCAACATTTTCAAATCGACACATTTGCAGTCACATGGCATTTCCGCATGTATTGGTATACATGTATATATATATATATAGTATATGTAATGAATATACAATGCTCTACAAGACAATGTGCCGATATCAACCAAATGTTCACCGTTCACTAGCGGTAATAATATACCGATGAAACATGGGCGTTATACGTAATTTAATCAAAATTATTTACAATGCTTCTTTTCATTACGTAAAACAACAAAAACTGCCGATAACGTACGTGTATGATAGATTACAAATACGGATTTTGCCAGCCCTACCAACCATTAGGTTGCTCATTGTAGGGGTTCTTGGAGAGTTTCTCAAACAAACAGAGAGGTTAACTTAACATATGTAAAAAAATCTATCAATATACATGTATAACTATATCCCATTTGATAATGCAGGGTCAGATTTCATGTTCCATGCCATTTTACTTTTCACCTATTTGTTATAATACCGAGAAAACCAAGCACCATAAATATCATTTGTTGGACATAGTTGTTTAGATTTTGCATATTGATAATGTTCTAAGTTTCCATTTTACTATTTCTAAATTAAATAAAAAAACAAGATTGTACATAAAGACAAAGTAAGATAAATACATAAAAGGCACTGTTGGAGAAACGTACATGTATGTGTCAGCTAGTATTCCATTAAAGTGTCAGGATTTTCATACAGGTGGGGATCTATCTCCAAGTCAGAAGAGCTCCTCCTGTATTCTTTCACATCCTGCTGTATTGCAGGGTTATTTCCTTGAAATGAAGGTTGTTCAACATTAGTATACACATGAAACGAGTCATAAAATGTTTCCGGCACCGGGGCAATGTTTCTTTCCGGATTTCGGCCATACTCTGCCGTGTCGTACTCACTTACCTCGAAAGAAGGCACGGCATAAATGTTCTCACTTTCAAAAACGTCGTTTGGCATAGCTTCAATATAAACATAATCTCCTGAAGAATCCGATCTAACGTCTGTAAAACCCGGTCGACGAGTTAAAAAACTTTTCTGACTACTCAGCACCGTTTTCCCATCGTTTTTATCAGTTGACAATTTTGAGGTTAATGATTGGTTAATCTGAAATGAAGTAATCGCGTCATCGTCTTTTCGAATTAAAGCCAGCGGACTCAAAGGCTCCATGGCCACGATACTAGTTTCAGTGGTTGTTTTGGATTCGAGGGTATCCCTCGACGATATAATAGCACCCTCGTTAAAACTACTCTCGTAGCACATGTTGAACTGTGAATTTGAGCTGACTCTGTCTCGACCAATAGCTGGTTTCTCTTTATCATACCGATAAACAGCCTCCATCTGAAACGAAAATTGAAATAAGAAAAAAGAAAATCGGCAAGAAAAACTTCTAAACAACAAAATTCTCGCTACCTTGATAAAAAATAATGCAAACATATCTTATAGGACAGTACTAGGAATGAGTCAGAGATGTTGTCATCTGGTCCGTATTTTCGATAGAATTTCTTATTATATTGTCAGAAGATGAAATATGGCGAAATACATACGAAAGCTTCGTCAATTTCAGCGTAAATCTCAGTATCGTTGTTCTCCGACCTCGCTTTCTTTCTTGGAGACTGGAAAAGCCACGTAAACAAACTTGGCTTCCCAACTGGCTCCAGAGAGCCTCCAGAATCCGAGTTCCTGAAACATAAATAATACGTACATAAAAATGTGAATATCTAGGCTTCATACTATATATTTTTAGTCGCAAACGTATGAACATTAAATGTTTCCAACAAATCCCAAGAATGATAACAAACATCACCGAGATTGTTTTAGGTTCATAATAACAAAAACAGATATCTTTTAGTGATAAAAAAGACCCTGCAAGTTCTGAAATATGATCATTATACATGTAAATACAATTTTAGTTAGATGTTCCTCGCTTTACAGGGATTGCTACACACTTTAACGATAAATAATATTTTTCATATACACGCGCTGAACTTACTGTGACTGTCTCTTCTTGTGCAAAATAAACATGAAAAGACCGATTGCACACAGCAGCAAAAGTCCTCCAACTGCTGAAGAGACAATAGCAATAGTATTATCACTTCCAGTTTCATTTCTAATTTTAGAAAAACCGGAAGTAGCGTTGTTGACAGAAGTTGTTGATGAAGTTGATGAATTTGTAAATATTACAGTTGATCTTTCCGGTTCTAAGGTCCAGTCAGTTGGTTTTTTAGATGTCCAAGGACGTTTTGATGGCTTTGTTTTCTCTCCTGGTACTAAAAATGTAATAGATAAATTTGTTGAGTCACATTTCCATTCATATAATAGAAACAACATCACCTACACTTAAAGATATATAGGACTAGCATTACAAATAAATTAAATCATAGAAAAACAGGTAAACGACAAACATTTGAACTTTTTGTATTTATGCTTACACCCTAGTTTTTTTACAGGCATATATCAATGTTTTCCAAATGGCGGCTAAATATTTCTCAAACTTTAAAAGTATCCGGAGCCAGCTCCGGTTGTATTTTCTTTAAACAAGGCATTATGATAATATCGTTTGGTGTTTATGTATTTAAAAGTCACTGCACGATGATTTCGTTGGTAATGCAAAAAGTCTAAGCAAATGTTTGGACCTTAAAAGTAAATGCTTGCAACGACCAAAACACAACAAAGCCGGGTAGAAGTAAAGGAAAACAGACTCACGGAAACGTACCCACAATACAGAGGACAAACAACTTAAATATATTTATCAAAATATCACAATTTCAGTATACCTATTGCTATGGAACAGGTTGTTTTAATGCAATAAAATATTTGTTGTTGTATACATGCACTTCAAAATGATGATTATGAAACTAGATTATGTCTTTATGAACGTTTATTCGATTGTCAGAATATATTCACCGGCTGAAGTAGATTCTACAGTTGTGACGTCATCAGTTGTTGTCTCAATTTGTTCTGTCGCATCTGCTGTTACGAAAGTCGAACTCTCCACATTTGTGGTAGTTTGTGGTGCAGTAGTTGTGGTAGTAGTCGTCGTCGTGGTCGTGGATGATGATGACGTCGATGATGATGTGGATGATATTCTAGTGGTGGTAGGCGTGGTTCTCGTAGTTGTGGTTTTCTTTGTTGTAGAGGTAGTAGTAACAGGTCGTAATGTTGTTCCTAGGATTTGAAATAGTTCCTTATTCAAACGATTATCATAAAACAATCTTACAACCATTTCAATGGAAAACTCTATATACAGTATGTGCACATCGATGACAATTGCTCCAGCAAAGTAACTGCAATATCTTCAGGGTTCGAACCCTAGCCGCGGCGCTTGTTTCCAACAACACAACAATTTGATGACAAAATGATGATAATTGTGAAACAGAAACTACTGTATTTCTGTCTAAACATCTTAACTAGAGTATGGTTAATTCGTCACGTTTATTTGTATTTGGCATGACTTATTTCTTTCTCTTTTTACTATATACAAATGAAGTGTAGTGTCATTATGGTATATTCCGTAAAAAAACCCATAAGTAATGTATTTACACTGAACAATAACATGGTCGATAAAAAATAGACATTGATAGCGCAAAAAACACGAGGACAACAATAAACGATCATTCTGCATGGGTATGTTTGTGAAACGCATTATTCACGTCCCAGATACATCAATAGACAAAACATTCCTTGAAAAGATACAACGTTGATAGAAAGATGAGGGACATGCAATGTTTAATATATTTAATATAGATTGGAAACCTTATTTGCACTATTAAAATGCGCTTGTATTTTTCTAAACAATAATCAGGATATTGACCTTATAGGAATTCCACTAAAGTCAAAAGGCGTAAAGCACAAAATTCATTTTCTCTTCAAGTGAAGCACTTAAAATTGAAAAATATGCATTCAAAAATAAAGAACTGCAGAATCAAATGGAAAATCGATAAAACGTGCAAATCTGTGTCCGATTTGAGGGAAAATCGTTGCAACGCTGTTCATTTTTGTGTCATTTTGAACAGCAAAAATGATCATTTTGGAAAAAAAGTGGTGAGTGAATGATCTGAAAATTTGCATACAAGTTACTGGTTTAGACCTATATCAAATAGTATACAAATTTTGAAAAATATTTCCAGTTACCTCATGTCAAAAAACCTCAGAGTAGTCCCCACCTGGTATTATTACACCACAATGATACTTATAATATTATATTTCATTATGATACAGTGAATAACGAATAGAGTCTGTACATGAGGTATAATGAAAAAGTACAACATCCCTCACGCCCCTAGCATCGGTAGCGCTACTCAGTTTTCAACACTTAATATTGGAATCAATGATCCCCCGAAGAACCAGAAAAATATAACAACACTGAAGTGAATGGAGTACGGAGCAACTTTTTACATCTGCAACACGCCACTTGACACCTGTTGTTGTGAAGTACAAAAATCTGAAAAAGAGTGATCACTTGGAAGAATTGATTACCACAATATTATGTGAAAATGGCAGACTTTGTACATGAGGGATAATAGACTTGTATTGCTGGGATGCGTTATTTAAATATCGTTTGCTGAAAATACCAAGGCTAACCACGATAATGCTTCTTACAACATAAGGTCATAATAAAATAAAACATACATGCCAAAGCATTGGAGAAAAAGATCAAACATTTACGTTGACTTCATGCAAATCATAGATACATTATAGGGTGCTAATTATTAGATTGTATGCTTACGTTCAGGTGGTAGGTTGTTACAGTGTTCGTCCAGAATCACTTGCTGATCAGCAAGAATGTCGTTGAACGGCTCGGCCAGACGTTGAGCGTTAACGTTGTCATGACAAGTTCCCATCCATGACACCGTACAACTTCTCGTGGCCTGAAGATCTGTCTTAAGTTTACTATGTGAAAATAAGAAGGGGAAGTAAATAAGACATTTGTAGACATGTGAATGGAAAAAAAAATTAAGAAAAACAATACAAACAACAAAAACATAAATATGTAAGGTGTCTTGTCCTCATGCAGTCCTATACAGACAAAATACATACTGGTCAAAAACAAGTTCAATTTACTCATAAAGCCCCTTTAAATTTATGATATACTTTCAACAATTTTACGCCAAACGCGTTTTGCTTGTATAATTAGTACATGTACTTTAGTTAACATAAATAAACTGCAGATCTTGAAGAGTGGGAAATTATTTCATAAGCAATATATCCAGATATAATAAATAAGTTAAAGCTTGGGTGCAAAGGAATGCGTTCAGTTAGGAAGAATCACTTTCAATCTCGAATAAACTGACTGTTTTTGTGACATAATTCATAGACAAGCTCTATAGTCGTGACCCAAGAAAGCCCCGAACCCTGTGGCCCCTGGATTTGGAGGCAGACTTATGAGAAATCATTAGGCCACAGCTCCCTATTCTTCAATCTATTTCTTTCTCTAGGTACGGAGTTATACACTTTATAGAACACATACCGGCAAGCTTTGTGCATGTCCTGGTTTCCAATCGCCTGAAGCTTGACGCTTGAAAACGATGTTTCCATCGTAGCAAAACATTGCCGAATACCATCGCAGCACTTCCGAGCTTGTCCGTGATAATCTAAAATTAAATAATTAAGTAGGCTTATACTAGTACAATTTCATTATTTACTTGTTCTTTCAATATTTTTTTACTATTTTAGAAGTTTCTAAATGCCAAGAAAAATCTCTAAGATTTCTTGAAAAATACATCATGGTTCCCAATATCAGGACTGGGAATCAAAACTGCGTCGTATCCTACAAAATGTAAACAAACGCCGCCATCTTGGAACGAAAAACGTATGTTTTTGTTTATAACTCTTTTTGTTGGAAATGACTGAAAACAAGATATATGTATTAACACGCTACACTATTTTCCGCTTCGTTCGGTATATGTTGCTTGCACAACTATTTTGTAAAACAAAAGTTATAGCGAACTTGCAACTCGAAGCGGGGCAGAATCTTTATGAAAATGTGTGGATACGACGCAGTTCATATTGCTTTATCTATCGTTTTGCCTTCAAATCAATTATATATTTGTTTCAGAGTTCACCATAAACTTCGAAATACAATTTGCATCATTTACTAAAATTTTATTAAAAGAGATGTTTATTTTCTAAGAAAATAATGATTTTTACGAAATGATACGACGCAGTTGAAAATAAAATATGATACGACGCAGTTGTATTTTTGGCAGTCTTTTCAACAGGGATAATTTTGGCAATATTTTTCTATTTTATGGAATAATCACTTGCGCTAGATAAAAAACCCAGATCATTTGCGGTGTAAAGCAATGTTTCTGATGGTTATTTAGAATACAATGTGTCATGTCCAATATAACATTTAATTTGAAAGTTGACATTGCGGAAGCTACTTTTTAGTTAAACATGAAACATGTTACCTTATTGATCATAATATCTGAAATAATTTCTTATATTTTCCTGTATGTTCAATATTATCCCTAATTTTTTTTCGCAAAAAAAAATGTAGAAATCTATTAACTTAAATTCATTTTGGCTAGCTAAGCTCTAAGTTAACTGTGGTTCTGCATGTTCTGGGTAATGACTGCTTTTTTTGTGGTTTCTTTTCAAACTTTCACTCTACACATTAGCTTTACTAGGGGCGAGGACCTCAGGTGCGCCTTTTGTGCATTATTTCAGGCAAAATGTTGTACCTGCAGAGAACCGTCGACATTTTGAAACTAGCTTGATAGGTTTTCCACACAAAAGAATAAAAAGTCCCCGGTGGTTTTCGAATTCATAGCAGTTCAGTTCAAGTGATTTGAATTCAGTAAACATAAACAGCTCGGCCTCGGTCGGACACACCTGTCTGATTTGTTTTTTCAACAAAATTTGTTATCGTCAGCTGTGCAAATAAGCAGCTTTTTTATTAACTTCTGGCGTGAAGTTTTAAGATTATAAATATTTGAAATAATTATAAAGAGAATAAAATTTAAATTTCTTATTTCGGTATTAATAGCAGAGAAATTTTCAATGTAAACAGGAGGTAATCCTCTGTGAAGTCATTTTCTGAAAACTTTTGTTTAAGTTTTCAGGCAATACATTATCAAATAAAAATCACACTTTAGTATGAAGGTATGTTGGGATGTCATGTCTCTAGTCAGTTAAAAATTCGATACGATAATCTGACATTTTCTGTTCAATATTGTGAAAACTTAATAATTCTTCAATACTGTTGAAAGATCATGTCTGCCTATATCTGTATCAAATTTATTGGTGCATTGCGTAAAATACCTTTGCAAAACGGACACCTTTTTTACAAAAAAAATTGTAGTTGTATCATATGTAACTCGATTTTGAAAAGTTTTTTGATGGAGAAGAATGATACTTAAGTGCAAATATAGAAAAAATACATTCCGTAGACCTTTCCTCATCGGCGATAAAGAAACGCAGGGGTAAAGTTCCGCGGCGCTGAACATAACGCATAACCTACTTGCAAAAATATATTGTAGCTTAACCATTTATAATATAATTTAAAAAAATTAATGTTCATTTTCAAATAATAAAGCTCATCTGTCCTCGTCGATTATTAAGAAAATGAATTCAATAAAATTGGCACGTAAAAGACATAAGTAATAACGGAATTGACGGAAATTATTGCTCATTACAAGTAACAACGGTAGGCATGCAATTTGCGCATTCCCGATAGCGAGAGACCTTTTCAAAATTTGTAATTTTTTCTCTTTTTTTAAGAAAAAAGTCATTCCTTGTTAATACAGGGTCCAGTGGAGGTTACACTGGAATATTGAATTTTGTATCAAAAATAGTAATCACTCCCATTTCGAACTCACGTGGACAAGTTTTTTTAAGCATGCTAAGGCAACAGTAGAACACGTTGTCATATGGATGTGCGATCACGTGTTTCAATGTATATTGCATTTGATACAGCTTTTCGGAATCTGTAGATGCTTCTGATTAGTACTAAAATGCGACCGAAAAATGCAGCCTTAATAGAATTGTACTACATTTCCATTTTAATGAAACCAATGAGTGACCTCTGCTTTTGACTTAAGTTGTAAACAAGAAATGTTGTAGGACGTTATTGGCATACCTAGCACATAATTTAAATAGTTTAACCCATATTCAGCCTGCAATGCAAATACAACTGCGTCGTATCATATTTTATTTACAACTGCGTCGTATCATTTCGTAAAAATCATTATTTTCTTGGAAAATAATCATCTCTTTTAAATGAAAGTTAAGAATATGATGCAAAATTATGTTTTGACGTTTATGGTGAACTCTGAAAACGAGTATATAATTGATTTGAAGGAAAAACGATAGATAAAGCAATATGAACTGCGTCGTATCCACACATTTTCATAAAAATTCTGCCCCGCTTCGAGTTGCAAGTTCGCTATAACTTTTGTTTTACAAAATAGTTGTGCAAGCAACATATACCGAACGAAGCGGAAAATAGTGTAGCGTGTTAATTTATATATCTTGTTTTCAGTCATTTCCAACAAAAAGAGTTATAAACAAAAACATACATTTTTCGCTCCAAAATGGCGGCGTTTGTTTACATTTTGTAGGATACGACGCAGTTTTGATTCCCAGCCCTGAATATATACTCGTGTACAACGCTTTACATTGCTATGCGATTCTGAAGTTTTGAAATGATATGAAAGAAAGACAAGTCTTGATATCCGTGTAATCTTTTTAGTTTATGTTTATAAATATATTAAGTCAGGAAAGATTCCTGGTACCAATAATAATAGCATATTAACAAAGCTGGAACTTTTGGGTCAAAATGGAAAAATGCCTCATGTTTTACTGTTGACAATATATGCCTCAAACAAAAAAAAGAATGAACCAGATTTATCATCAGATGCTTTTTCGCAGCAATATCACACCATCAGGAACATAGCATGTTACTTTTTTTTGCTGCCATGAATACGAGTTTAGTCATATAGTAAATACAGATACGTCTTGTAGATGCATTTTTCGATTTACTCACATATACTCGTGTAATGCGTCATTTCTGCGACGTCACGTGACACAACATGATCTCATAAATGGATAAACATTTTAATCTGGTAGACGGTTTCAATATTGTACTTTTTTCACAATAATACACATATTTGATATATCTTATTTCATTCCCTGTCATCTGATGTGCTATATTATCTGAAAAGGTTGCCTAGGCAACGAGAACGCGCCTATGGAATAAATATTGATTTTCTACCTGAGACTGAGATGTCATGACATTCCTACAGTCGACAAATAACTCATAAATAAGCTCTTCTCGTTAACGAGATTTTTATCAAATAGAATTCCCCGACATTTTCATTGAAGTATTAATTAACAAATAAGGAAAAAATGACAAAAACGACAAAGAAGTTATTAATACATTGTACGTACATAATTATATGTGTTCTTATATTTGATGCTGGTGAGAGTTTATTTTTGGTTAACGAATCATTATATGGCTAATAATGTTCTATATGTTTACCGCATCTATATACCCAGGTTAAAAAAATATTATTTTAATAGAAGAGGCTACCAGGCAGGAAAAGGAAAGGGAATTGTTTGTCAAACGTTTTCTAAATGAATTTATATTAGGCTTCATACGTGTGACAGTATAACATTACCAGTCTATATGACACCAGTAACGTTACGGCCTCTGTTACAATGAATCATTATTTCGTTTTCGATTAATTTCTTCATTCTTTTTTCATAGACTTACAACAGCCTATTATTAAGTATATGAAAGTATGTTTTGAAAAGAAAAGTCATTTTCCAGCAGTTTTTTACATGGCACTGACAGTGACGGTATAATTCCTTTCAAACTGTTCAGCAAATATATACGAAGCTTGCTTTAAAATATTTTAACTGTGAAGTTTGCCCAGCATTTCATTAAACTTAAATGTTATGTTTTATTGCCTAGATAAATACATACTTTCTCTTACAATTTTTAGAAAATAAGAAACATAGGGTCATGATATATTGTTACATGTTCAAGATGCGTCATGCGTGAAGTCGACACCATGTCCAAATACATATACTTGTAACAACTCGTCAGATATGCGCAAATATTACATATAAAATCAGCAGATATAGCAGTCACATAACAATATTTATATTATATAAGCACATGAATACCTTGACAGAAAGTGTATATCTCTCCAACTGTAGATTTCAGTGCTTTCACCAACGTATCCACTGGAAATTTATCATTTACAACGTCGTCGGGTCCATCTATCCAACCCATGTTTTCTTCTCTTTCACTTAACCATCCTTATGCTTTGTAAGACAATATCTCTTTTTCAAGCTCATTTCAACATATAATTATCCCCATTTGTATTCAGCGTCATCTCATTATATGATGTACATTGCCTGAGATCTGAGGAAACCATCGATTTCAGAAAGTAGACCAGCGCATTAGAATTCGCTGCGCAGAAATGATGCGCCCTCGAGCCGATATTAATAGAGGTATTCCCATTATCTGTGTAAGACATTCAGCCCACCCCTTTTTATCATTTAGTTTTGGCTGTTTGGTTGGCTTGTTGGGGTTTAAGTCAAATCAGCACTGTAATGTTTAATCAGCGAATGTACAGCTTTACTGGTGGCGAACGATCTTGGGTGCCCCTCCATGCAATATTTCAGCCATGAGTGGGAAACTAAACATATAATCATTAGCTTTTTGTAAAAAATATGGACAGCTAGAGTGTATTTAAAGTCTCTTTCAGGATTTGAACGCACACCAATGATGGGCAAGTGGTGCGAAGTCAGCATTCATAACTAAACGGCCTCGAAGTTATGAAGCAGTAGCATATACTGCAGTACGGATGTAGATATATGAAAAAAAATGCCAGGCTGTCCATTTCACCTTGACTACCTGTAAAGAATGAAGGGGTCATTCAATGAATTAATTTTAGCATAAATTCCAAAAATAGAGAGAAATTCTTTGCATAATTTGATTCCCCTCTGTTATGGAGCATAATTTTTGTCATTAAGACAGTTCAACTACAAGTTGTAGTGTGTGATTTGATCAAGAAATAACATGTATTTGTAGTTAGGATGGGAATTATTTGAAATTCCGTATTACAATTAAACAATTAGTGTTACTGCCATGCTTTTAAGAGAAACGAATGAATTAACATAATTATGATGACAACTTTACAAAGGAATTATTTTTATTACATGTATATTATTTCAGGAACCCTGGTTATTTAAGGGGAAAACACCAACAAACCAAGCAATGTGAAATGGACCACGAGCATCTTCATATGTTGATGAAGTAATAATATTTTAGATAATTGCACGTTCAATACTTCCTTAAAGGACTCAAATAATGCCAATACTATTTTAGAGAAAATTTTATTTTACTATTTTTTTTATACAAGAAAAAAAGGCAAAATCAGCTGTGTTATTTATTGAATATGCTTCTAAAAACGAGAATTTTCCAAACGTTGAATAAAAGTAACTAGATATCAAAAATTAATTAATGTGTATTGATTTATAACAAAAGTTCGGCAGTACCATAAATAATTATGGTGATAGTATTTAGTACATCATACGTGAAAACAAACCCCAAAAGAATTATGTATGGATGCTGGTATAGTATAGTAGTAAATTTTAAATACATCAGATATGACAAATGATAAAACATATATTTGTGATAATACATATATAGCAGATAATAAAATGTTCTAGAATAAATATGTCCATGCATACTTAATTACTTTAAAACTCTAAAAAACATTTTGTTTTCCAGAAATATTTCATAAGAATATGCAAATAATATTTTTCTATTGTTTTATCAATATTTGAAATACTTACGGAAAATAATTTTGCAAGTAGGCCAGTCCACTTAAATGTGTATTTCATCTGTTTTTAAGAGCCATGTAATTGCATTGAAGAGGTTTCTAATTGGTGTGGCGTCTACATTAGCGCGCTGCAAATTAATCTAAAGAGGTATTTACCTCTCTAAATCAATTAATTTGAGAGCGGTAAAATTCAATTTTAGAAATCTTAAATGTGAGTTAAATGGGTTTATTGTATATCTGGGAAGGGCTTAATCTAATGTTGCAAGTCGTTTTGCCCAACCCTTTTTTTGCTTTTTGTTATAATATATACTTATATTATTTGTGTATTATTAATACTTCACATGTTGGTGTTGCTATAAAATATTTTAAAATTAATTCTTTTTTATAAAAGATAATAAATATATATATTATATAGTGCAATAAGTTACTATTGAATAACTTTCTCTATAATACTTTTAGAATCTTAATAGAATTTTTACGCACCTCTTTAAATATGGTGTTTATGTGTGAAAAAAAAATATAACGAAATAAAATTTAAACAATTTAATAATCTAACAGCAATTTTCCAAATAATAGTCATAAACAAAATTACAAATCAGGTTACATGTAAAACAAAATAATTCTAAATTACTATGTTTTAGTAAATCTATGGCATATACATATAGATCTTAATCATCTATTAAATATGCTGCGCATTGTGCGGAACCAGGTGGGAACCGATATAACAATCGTCCAAAATACGCAGAGCGTTTGAATTCCCGCTGTTTTGATCACGCGCCGCGTCCGCGCATTGCATTACGGGAACCAAAAGTAGTGTAATGGCCGACATTGGTAAGGCAAATTGAAATTTTGAATATTTATATACTTTACTGAGGATTAGTCATTAAATAACAATTAAATTGAAGAAAGTTTGCTTCCTATTGTATTGTATCGTTTATTTATTGCACTAAATGCTCAATTAACATGATAAAAATGCACAAAATATCTGAAAATTATACTTCCGTAAATTGTCAACAGACAATTCACAACTGTTCAAGGTCCCATAATTTGCCACAGAATTCACCGTTCTCGTCATATAATTGAATTCTCTCAATATTTTCAATAATATTGGTGTATGTATTGATTCTTACACATAATACATGGGTGAAAGTTTTCAGGACTACAGTATTCCAGACTTCCCGAAAGTTGAAAAAAACTGTCGGACATTCGGTCTGACTAACCATGAAAATCTGTCGGACCGAAACGAAATCTGTCGGACCAAATAAAATTGATCAAAATCAAAGAATAACGTGTGTTTGTATTTCTTAGACACTTTTTGTTTTTGATTTTTTCGCCGTAAAAATCGGCACATTCCTTACCGCGCATTTTCATCTCCTCCCTATCATACACCAAAAATTCACTACACATTAAATTCTTCTTTGAATTTATTAAGATTTAACATTATATTGTGTTACATAGTTACATTTTTTCTCTTTCTTACATCTATTTTATTCACATAATATCGTTTTCTTATTAAGTGATATTTTTTGTTACCAAATTTAACGTTAACGTTTGGCGCGGCTTAAGACGCCGCGTTACGTCATATTTTATCTGGGCGGAAATGCAATGATCAAAACAAAATTTAAAACGTTCATACAGTTTATAAGCATCACGACGATACATTTAAAACGCCGCAATAGTTGGTATGTTTATTTATTTGTTTTAAAATGATAATTTATATTAGGATTTTATTGAATGTATTCTTAAATAAGATTATTTAAGTGTACTGTAATTAGAGCTCTATTTAAGTAAAATATGTTTAGTTTATTTGAGAGGTAAATACAAATGTTTGATTGATGATCGTACGTTTATTTTTATGTTTTGATATACATGTAATTATCTTTGTATTTTATGTAATGATTTATTTTTATTTCTTTTGTACAGAGAATCGTTCCACGTTTTACGTTCCACGTTTGACGTTGCACGTTTCACGTTGCATGTTTTACGTTTCACGTTAATAAACGCATTCTCACTAACACTGGCGTCGTGTGTTTATAATTCTCAACTAGAGTTTAACAACTGTCAAGTCGAAGGTTAAAGACCTACTGAGCATAAGGTGGAAATGGATTCTAAAAGGTTTCCTGACGCCCCCCCCCCCCCCCCCCCCCCCCCCCCCCCCCCCCCCCGATGAAGTCGCGAACTGCACACCTTAGTCAGCTGACGAAAACATTTAATGAACTGGAACGTTTAATGTTATCATCAGAAAAATTACGACAAAGTACATGAAATGTACAATAAACTTTGTGAGAAATATGAACATTTCAAAGGCAGCACATATTCTATGTATTGATATGTGTGAGGATACAGAAAAGTTGAACTTAATGGAAAGTAATTTTACCAGTCAAGTTAAGAACTTTGCTGAGTTTAGTGAAACGCTACTCAGAGTGGAAAAAAATCTGTGAACAATACAGAAGATTGTATTTCAGTGAACAGTCGTGTTACGAATAAATTCGTCAAGTGCGTTCGTCACGATCTGAAATGGCTTAGTGCTAAAAATGCAAGGAAATTGGTTGCTGAAAGAAATTAAGACTTTGATAGAAAAGCAGCGCATTGACAAACAGCAACGAAAGTTGCCAACGTGAACGGGAGGAGCTTGAAGAACGTAAACAATTACTTGATGTGCAAGTGAAATTGATCAAGCTCAGGTTGAAGAGGCAGTATGGCAGCAAGACGCAATGTTTCGGCTCCGGTGGGTAACAACTGACATACCACAAAACCAACACGCTACACACATAAACTGCGGTAGTCGTGCAGACGACATTCATATGACGACAGTCGTTCATTCACAAATACCGGTTGTGTAGGCGGGTGATGGGCGTGGATAGAGTGTGGATGGTTAAAATAAAAAAAAGTTAGCAAGAAAGGGGGGGGGCGGGGGTAGTTTTTGGGGGGGAAATTTACCAACGAAGAAAAGAATAAGGGGAGGCCCTTGATAAAGGGGTTTTTATTTTTAAAAGGAGGGAAAGGTTTCCGGGAAACCAGTTACCCAGTATGGAAACGTTTCCCCATGGATAATTTTCTTGAAACAGGGGTTAGCTATAAAACAAAAAACCAAAAGGGAAAAGGTGGACAGCGATTTTTCGGGGTAGCACACATGGGGCTTTCCAAAAAGGGACCTAGGGGTTTACATTACGGGGAAGGGGTTTTAAAATTTTTGCCTAAACCTGAGTTATTGAATTTCCCCGGAAGTGCCATAGATTAAATTGTAAATTCATTTAAAGAATTTTTGAAACAAACATTGAATCGAAGATTTTTGATAACAGACTTAGGTTGAGTTATCTTATACAATATTGTACAGGCGAGGGCAAAGTTCTTGTATAGAAGATTGTGTGTTGTTAGAGTCGATGTAGGTTACGCACGTGCACGAGAAATATTGAAAACTCGTTATGGTAAACATCATGTTATTGCTAGATCTTATATTGAAAAATTAGTTTATGGCCAACAAATTAAGTCTGGTTGATAGTGATAGTCTTTCAAAACTTGCTTTAGATATGCCAAAATGTGAGATAAACTCTTTCACAGTTAGGGTTTTTT